GCGCCTCGATTCCCCACACGAATTTTCGACTCGAACGATCCTCCGAAAATTCCACGGACATCGGAGCAACGGCAAAGAACGTGCCAAGAGACAACGTCGAACGTTCGTCGCGAGATTTAAAATAACATATGTGAAACGAAAGTTGAAAATTCCGTCGCGTCGTTGCTAAAAATTAAAGTGGATTTAAAAGTCCGTGGCTTCGATATCGCGTTAACGTTCGATAGTTCGGTATAATTTTTAGAAACGATCTCCAGGATCTCGGAGGAGCAAGAACGATCAAACGGTATTATCCATCGATATCGAGAGCTTCTAAGTGCACAGGTGAATACGTTAGGGCGTTATTGCATTAGCTGCAATCGGCGGGACTAAATTGCTACCAGGAATTACTTTCTATGGAAAAAGAGTGTCCCCGGCAGCCCCCGTCGCGCGTCGCGTCGCGTCGCCTCGCCTCGCCTCGCCTCGCGTCTGCCGGAATAGAGGCCACGATCCATAAAGGCCCAGTTTCGAAACTTTTGCAGCCGTTCGTCACGGCCGGTGAGCCGTTCAAAGGTCTGCAAGGTAATTTCTAGGGAAAAGTACGTGGAAAGGCACCCCCGATTTCGTCGCTTTCACGCGCTCCCGAGCGTCCTTGGACCACGTTTTCTTCGACGGGTTTGCTTCTTGCGCGTCCACCGGCAGATTACCACCAGATTAACCCTATTTTTTCTCACCTCTCCGCACCATCCTCTGTCAATTTTCCTCGCCGGAACATCTGCGACGATCCGGCGCGAAGAAAGCATTATTCCATTTTCTCGGCTTCGTGCCTCCCTTGTGCGGCACAGTTTAACGGGGGGTAAAAAATGGTCGAATGGATCGAACGGTATCGTGTTTCATTCCGGAGAGGTGTCGGTGCCGAAAAATTAATTCACGACTCGCTTTTGAAACATCGTGTAAACGTAAGGGAAGATACAACGTCGTGCCTCGCCTTTTCTCGAGACTGGCGAGTAAAAGGTAATTAAATCCTGCGATGAATAAATTCTGCAGCAAGCCGTATCGCGATTAGGCGACGAACGGGGGGGAGGGGTGCCCGAAGACGGTCGATCGCCCGGTGAAAAAATCGAGCAGCGACGGAATACATAGCTCTGGAAGCTGCAGAGGTAGCGCCAGCAAAATGAAAATAAAAATACGGCGCACGGGCGGAGAAATCGCGCGATCCGGAAATTTAATCCGGCCTCGTTAAACCCTTTCTCTTTTGCAGCGGTGCCGGACCGGGAAACGGGGAAGGGGATGGCAAAGTGTGCGAGTGCAATTTCGTTGTAAATCTCGCAGGAAAGCCCCCGTGAACGACACGCTGACCCAGAAAGTCAAAGGGTTGGGATTCCGTCAAGATCGATTCGAATTTCGTGCACGGCCAGCGCGGACCTTTACGACCTGTCCTTTCGAGTTTCCACGCAAAAGGGCTGAATCGGCGCGTCTCTTTTGCGCGAAAATCGGTGAAATGAGCCTCGGCGCACCCTAATAAATCTGTTGGACGTTTTGCCGCTCGGCTCTCGACCGGTCCTTCTCTCTGTCTCCGCTTCGCCATCGCCATCCAGGACCGCGACGGCACCCCGCGAAGACTTCGCATACATTTCTGTCCAAATATTGGGCCCAGGCCGGTCGCCGATCCTCGTAACGTAATAAATTATGCCGGTCATTAACGCAACCGGCCGACCACGCGACAATTTTATCGCGTTTTACCGGCCACGCTTTCGTTGGCCTTCCTCCGACGTACTTTCCGCTGTGATATTCGACCTCGGAGAGGGTTAATTATTTTTCCAAACACAACAGTGACCGATTTCTCGAAGCTCGTTGTCCGAAAAGCCGAACCGTCTAGTCGGAAGCCTGTTGCAGGGGTTGTTGACGAAGGGTTGCAAGTATTGCAGGGACTCTACACAAAAGCTCTCCGTAGGATTTCGACGATTTTCCGAACAGATTTTGGATCCGTTTCGTATGGAAATTCGGAGGATTATCAGAAACTCGCTTTTTTATGAAAAGTAGAAGCTCGTAGACAAATGTGGCCAAGAATCGAAGTCTCTCGACAGCGTCGATGTTCCGGAAAAAACGATTTCAGGTGAATAACTTGTTCACAGAACCGTTTCCACGTGCAGAGATCATTTTTGCGGCGCAATTAATTTTTTCTCGGAGCAAGATTCATTATTTCGCGTCGCCGGCATCAGCGTTTCTGGGGCGGAGGGCGAGGATAATGATGTTGCAGGGATTCGATGATGTCAAGGGAGGTCCTCGTTAGTCGGAGTTCCAAGAGAAGGACCCCCCAGGAGGGACTCGCATCGATGCCTGTCCAAATATCGCGAGGCACTGCTATTTACACCGAGTAAATCCGGAGCATTTAATAAATTCGCCAAGTGTTAATTCGACGCGCTAACCGCAGGATTATCCGGATTTACCGATAAGGCGTGAATCGATGCGCACACCTCGTCTCATTTTATGATCGACAGGATTAAGATGAATCTGTGGCGGCTACCTCCAGACCCGCCAACAGATGGCTCCTCTTCCTGCAAGTAACCGATCCGCCTCAATTTGTATATAAAGAGACTTTCCTATACTGACATCCCAACGTCTTTGGATTACTTTTGATTTTCGTTTTATTATGATTTATCAGGCAGTGATGAGCTTGAGCTCCATGCTGCAATATTATAGTTTAGTAAATAAAAATAAAAAATGTCATCCCAACGTCTAAGGCAAGGGCCCGTTTAGGATAACCTTACCGATGGGTCCTCTAGCGGGTCCTGGGCGTAACGTCTCCCCCTCTCTTTCTCTCCCAAACATCGTCGCATCAACCACCGGCAAAAATCCAATCGCCGAAAAATATTTTTTGAAACACGAATCTACCTCATACGCTCTATATCGTCACAATAGAACAATGAACCGTGGAAAGAATCCATCGAAATAAATTAGAAATAAAAATGTTTTTCTTCGCAATGGTTTCTCCAATTTTCCTCAATTTCTCAATTGAAGAAAAGAATTCATTCACGTGTTCAAGATCGATAGAACAATCAGACAAAAAAAAAATGGATACATCTAAGAAATAATAGAATAGTTCCATTATTCGCTGGGAAAGCGACTTAAAACGGGAATAATCATGCCATTATCGGCCGTCGTGATCGTCCCAGGTAGCCAGCTAGCTTACGTACCTGAACAACCTGAGCCTTTTAAACTCGCCTTTAAGAAACTTTATTAACAGCTCAGGATTCCCTGCAATTTACCAAACCTGCAATTCCCGCTTAAGACATGATCTGGGGATGNATGCTGCAATATTATAGTTTAGTAAATAAAAAAAAAAAATGACATCCCAACGTCTAAGGCAAGGGCCCGTTTAGGATAACCTTACCGATGGGTCCTCTAGCGGGTCCTGGGCGTAACGTCTCCCCCTCTCTTTCTCTCCCAAACATCGTCGCATCAACCACCGGCAAAAATCCAATCGCCGAAAAATATTTTTTGAAACACGAATCTACCTCATACGCTCTATATCGTCACAATAGAACAATGAACCGTGGAAAGAATCCATCGAAATAAATTAGAAATAAAAATGTTTTTCTTCGCAATGGTTTCTCCAATTTTCCTCAATTTCTCAATTGAAGAAAAGAATTCATTCACGTGTTCAAGATCGATAGAACAATCAGACAAAAAAAAAATGGATACATCTAAGAAATAATAGAATAGTTCCATTATTCGCTGGGAAAGCGACTTAAAACGGGAATAATCATGCCATTATCGGCCGTCGTGATCGTCCCAGGTAGCCAGCTAGCTTACGTACCTGAACAACCTGAGCCTTTTAAACTCGCCTTTAAGAAACTTTATTAACAGCTCAGGATTCCCTGCAATTTACCAAACCTGCAATTCCCGCTTAAGACATGATCTGGGGATGTATGCTGGGATCAACAAATATATAGATAGGGAACGGGTAGATATTTTCTAAATAATCGAGTCTGAAGTAAGCTTAAGGCTTATTCCTGAGAATTTCAAACATTCAGCAGCTTTCTGCGGCAAACGTTGATCCGAATATAAACTAAAAATCGCGATTTTCTTGCAACGTCCTCCTATATCTGTCTATAAACAAAAACTCTAGCCAGCACAGCAAAGCAAACTCTGGCAGTCTAAAAAATCAATGGTCGCGGCGCAGAATGCTGGAAAGTGCACGAAACGTAAAAACCAACTAACAACGATCCCCCGTAAAATTGTCCACCGATTCGGTTTGCCTCGGGAGGAATCCTAAAATCGTATGAAAAAAAGAAAATTGTGCAAAAAGAGCACGAAACGTCTTGAGCTTAAGAATCCTCGAACGGCGTGTCTCTAGGCCTAGGATCACGGAGGTGAAGAAACGCGTGGGCCGCAAGAGCGTGGACGTTTCTCGGGGTGGGGGTAGATGGCGGATGGAACACGTGCGCGTGAAAATGTCAGTAAGCGTGGCTGTGCAAGGTAGCCGAATAGCCGGCAAGAAAACGGAGAAAGGACCGGGCGTTGATCGGAAGGAGACGCGAGGATTGCAACCGAAACGGTTTCGCGATGCGCCGGGGGTGCGAGGGAGAAGGCAGAAGCCGGATGGCAGAGAGCAAAACGGTGAACGAGCGATGGCAGAGCGAGAGTGCGGGAGAGCGACAGGGAGAGCTAGAGAGCGAGAGAGCGGAAGAGAGAGCGAGGGAGAAAGAGAGAGAGAGAGAGAGGCCGATGTTGGGAAGGGAATGCCAGGCGATGGTGCGAGGGAGACGGCGACAGGGTCGCGTGACGAGAGAGGGAAGATGATAAGGAAGAGCGGAGGCGCAAGCCACCCTTGGCTAGAGAGGCAGCAAGCTGGCAGCCCCTTTCGCAAGGCACCCCCTAAGCCTGGTTAGGGGCGAAGGCGGCGAGCCGCGGAGGCCACAACACGACCGCCGTCCTCATTGGTCGACGCGCCTGGCCTGGGTGGGGCTCCGGAAAAATTGGAGGGGAGAAAAATCCCCTCTAAATAGCTGCGGCTGCGGCCGCGAAAAACTAGAATCCGCTCAGCCGGCATCGAGTGCGCGTCGGTTCGGTGTACACGAGTTTCCCCATCGCTCAGCGTTTCTTTTCCGTAGCCAGTGAACGAAGAGTAGCAATTCCCTAGCACGCGTTTCTTTATCCTCGGCCGAGAAGCCTCTGCGAGACTCTCTTCGTCGGTAGACTCGTAATAAATATCCGAGTGTTTATTATATTTGTTCAGTTTTGCGACGGAACGACGCTACCGTGGTAAACCACAGTGCACGACGAGAACAGTGATCGACGGACTTTGCCTCCCGCGGACTGCGTCGAGTGCCCCCGAGGATACCTAGAGTGCCCTTCAGGATTACCGACTCCGCCGGAGTCTTTCCCAATTGGCTTTTCTTTCGCTCGACCGAAGGAAAGTTCGCTGAAGGAGGCGCGAAACGATGCATCTGCCGGAAGGACCGCTAGGCATGGATAGCTACAACGCGATCAGAGAGACTCTGCAGGTCCACTGCGACCTCGTGAGGACCGGAAGTCCAGCTATCCTCTGCAGCGCGTTACCCTCGCACTGGAGGTCGAACAAATCGTTGCCCGTGGCCTTCACGGTCGTGGCCCTCGACGAGGTCAGCGACGGCACCTTGGTCACGATCAGGGCTGGCAACGACGAGAATTGCTGCGGGGAGCTCAGAAACTGTACCGCGATCATGAAGAACCAGGTCGCCAAGTTCAACGATCTTCGATTCGTCGGCCGCAGCGGAAGAGGTCAGTGTTCGAATCTCGTATCGGTAATCGGAAGACCCTTCGAAAGATTCTTCCAGAGGTCTGCGAAATTAATCGTAGGATATTTTTTGCTGTGTTACAGGAAAATCGTTCTCCCTGACGATCCAGATCAGCACGGTACCATTCCAAATCGCCACCTACACCAAGGCCATCAAGGTCACCGTGGACGGACCCAGAGAGCCGCGATCCAAGTCAAGTAAGTTCCGATCTTCCGAGAAACTTTTCTCGATACCCTCCCCCCATCCCCCAGGCATGAAAACTACCCGAGGCGGAGACTGATCTCGAGCTTGCAACGCTCCATCGAGTCTTGATTTTGATAAAGTATCCGGACACGTGGAAGTAAATAGATAGGTAACAATTTCCGTACGTTCGCGCAAATGTTACACGAGGTTTCAAGAGGATCGCGTTTCAAGATCGATTCGAAACCGAAAATTACCCAGGTCAGAATTACACAGTCTCGATCTTTCAAGCGCAGAAAAATCTGTCGTACGAGATAACGTTCGTCCTGCGGAAAATTCGAGATCGCTCGAGCATCGGAAAACACGTGAGAAATGCAACAAACTTGACTGAAACTCTCGAAGTCTCGATCGTTCGAACGTTTAAAAACCTTCGCTCCGAAAATCACGGCTATGACAAAGTTTAAAATCGAACCGCAACAAAAGCTGTTTGAAAAAGAAAACGCAGCAACAGGGCCGACAGCGCGTAATCGCAGAATCTTGCCGTCGAAATTCCGCGACAGAGAAAATTTGTGTGTAACGGGGGGTTCGCGGGGATGGCCGGCAAGTCGCAGACGGTGTCCGCAAGCGTTCGCATCCTCGTTTAATAATCCGGTGGACCTCAAACCGCGACCGCCGCGGCTCCGAGTCGTTTACACGTGCACGCGGAGGGGTACGCAAGGGGTAGTTTGCGCGCGCGCGCGCTCGCGAGCGCTCGGCCGCGTACATTTCGCACTTACACAGTGCAAGAGGGCCAGGTTTTCGCACGCGCGCGGATCCGGCAAGGTTTGGCATGGTTTCAAGGTGTCGGCGTCTCCTTCCTCCGATCGCGGCCGGTTTATTTTCACGAGGAAGCCGTGCGTGTCCCGGATTGGTTGCCCCGGAGGTACGCGTGTGCACGTTTTTAACGCGGGGGCGGCGTTTTCTCTCGGAAGAAAGAGTCGAAGTCGCGGGTGGCACGCCGTGGTGCCCGGCCATCAAGCTCGTCTGCAAAGGAGCCGCGTTTATGCGTTTGTTTATCGCGGCGCATATGGCGGTAGCATGTGGACCGTAGCCGAGGCGGTCGTGTAAACAGAGATCGCGGAGAGCGTCGTTAATCCGCGTTTTACGGGGGCACCGGTCGCCTTGCCTTTTCCCTTGCCTTGCCTTTTTGTCCGCGCCATCCGCCACTATACTCTTCGGCTTCGTTATGCCATCGAGACACCGAGTCCGAGACGGCCGTTTAATCTCCGCCGCTGCGATTCCCCCTTTTTTTACTGGCCGCCGAAGGACCCGCGAATCCCGCCGATGTATTATCGCCCGGCACGTCGAATTTCTCTGGAGGAAGTTCCCGATTCTTCTGCAGGAAAACTCCGCTGAAAATTCCGACATCGTGCCGTTCGACCCAGCCAACGTTTCGGGGGCGGCTAGAAAAGTTCGCCAAGGCTGTCGGTGTCGGACGATAGAACCGTGGAGTCTTTATTTATAGAGCCGAAGGAATCGCGGGCTCCTCGAACTTATTTTAGCCCGCAGCTTCGATCTAACCGAGGATGTTCTTTCTGCTTACAGATTATCAATACGGACACGGGTTTCCCGGTATAGGAATCGGGCTGGGCCTGAACCCGTTGGTGGACTTCGCGTATCTGGGACACGCGTGCTACATGCCCCATCCTGCTTTCGTGAAAGGTAAATTCGACCTCCTCCTTGCCTCCGCTGTTAACCTTGGAGCGCGAACCGAGGCTCGGTAACCGCGACGGGGTTAGTATATCCGAGAAACGTAACTAGAATTTTTGATTCGGCTGGGACAGGGTATAGTCGAACGGCTAGATGTCCGCGCGATCATAGCCGAAAGTGCTCCTAATCGGCGCGTCCCTTCGCCCCGACTGCCTCGCGCAGCTGCAATCAATCAAACTCGAACAATACGCGCGTATAGTCGGCGCTCTTTCTCTTCCCAGCGAAGAAAAAAAGGGCCACGGAAGAGAGGACACGCGTTCACGAGAGTAGTCCGCTTGTTATCGATTTCGCCGTTCGTCCGCGACGCTTGCCGATGATTCATACCCCCGTGGCTGGACCGAGGGGTGAGCCGGGGCTCCCTTTTCCCACAACGGACCCCTTCGACCCCCGTCCTCCCCTTGCGCAACAATACGACTTAGCTCCCTTCTCGGCCAGAATCTTCCTCTCGCTCTCTCTCTCTCTCTCTCTCTCTCTCTCTCTCTCTCTCTCGCTTGCACACCCTCGCCAACTTCTGCTCTCCGAATTAATCGGCTGTTTTGCTCGTTCCCCGCAGGAACCATCCCGATGTCGTCGACGGATCTGTTCCCGCCAACGTTCCCACCAACGGTGCTGCCGTCGTACCCGTTCGACCACGTCAAGTACCCGACAGAGTACGCGACGCTGCCACCAAAGACTACCACTACGACCAGCTCGCAGCATCCCATCTCCAGCAGCCCGTCCAGAACGCCGCCGAGGAGTCCGAGCGAGTCTGGAAGCGAGTCCGCCGCCGAGGAAATCCGCAGCGCGTTCGTTCCAATCAGGTTGAACACCCTGCCGCCCGCCCCGTCGGTGATCACCGCCGCGAAATCTTCCCCGGAGACCGCTACCGTCTCGAAGAAGCCGACGTTGGGCGTCAGGAACGAGCTGAAGGCGCCCAGGTCCCTGATCGGCCTGAAACTGTCGCCCAAGAGGAGTCCAACGCCGACGAAGATCGCATCGCCGCCACCTGCCAAACCTGTCTGGAGGCCCTACTAGGCTCGGACCAAGGTGTAGAGAAGGCTCTGGGACTCTCGAAGAATTCCCGCTGGAAGGCTAGTGATTACTTAGACGTCGTCGGCGCAACCCGAGTCCTTTTTCTTGTTCGAGCGCGCGCCGATCCGCTCGACGATCTTCGGCAGATTCGATTTCGATCAAGTTCGGTTAACGGGCAAGTTCTCTGTGGTTCGCGGGTTCGGTTAACGGAGGAGTTTCTCTCTACGACGACTGGTTGGTTCTTCGGTTTTACGAAGACGGTGTTATTATAGTTGATAGTTACAGAGATTGTACGCCGACACATCTCTCTAAATTGTGGCCGATGAACGGCCGCTTTCAACGCGTCGGTCGTATGTACAATTCGCAATACACAAAGTATTATTGTATATAGGACAGTTTGTATATACGTGTAGATAGTTCGTGGACAATAATGTAGAAGAAAGAGATTAACTATATGTATAAACATCGCGCGCGCGTGTGTGGGTGGAAGTGCGACTGTGTCGATGGTTGTATGGGAGGGAGCGCGTGTGAGAGAGACCAAAAGACAGAGATATTGATATTATTTATAAGCCAGAGNTCGCTTGCACACCCTCGCCAACTTCTGCTCTCCGAATTAATCGGCTGTTTTGCTCGTTCCCCGCAGGAACCATCCCGATGTCGTCGACGGATCTGTTCCCGCCAACGTTCCCACCAACGGTGCTGCCGTCGTACCCGTTCGACCACGTCAAGTACCCGACAGAGTACGCGACGCTGCCACCAAAGACTACCACTACGACCAGCTCGCAGCATCCCATCTCCAGCAGCCCGTCCAGAACGCCGCCGAGGAGTCCGAGCGAGTCTGGAAGCGAGTCCGCCGCCGAGGAAATCCGCAGCGCGTTCGTTCCAATCAGGTTGAACACCCTGCCGCCCGCCCCGTCGGTGATCACCGCCGCGAAATCTTCCCCGGAGACCGCTACCGTCTCGAAGAAGCCGACGTTGGGCGTCAGGAACGAGCTGAAGGCGCCCAGGTCCCTGATCGGCCTGAAACTGTCGCCCAAGAGGAGTCCAACGCCGACGAAGATCGCATCGCCGCCACCTGCCAAACCTGTCTGGAGGCCCTACTAGGCTCGGACCAAGGTGTAGAGAAGGCTCTGGGACTCTCGAAGAATTCCCGCTGGAAGGCTAGTGATTACTTAGACGTCGTCGGCGCAACCCGAGTCCTTTTTCTTGTTCGAGCGCGCGCCGATCCGCTCGACGATCTTCGGCAGATTCGATTTCGATCAAGTTCGGTTAACGGGCAAGTTCTCTGTGGTTCGCGGGTTCGGTTAACGGAGGAGTTTCTCTCTACGACGACTGGTTGGTTCTTCGGTTTTACGAAGACGGTGTTATTATAGTTGATAGTTACAGAGATTGTACGCCGACACATCTCTCTAAATTGTGGCCGATGAACGGCCGCTTTCAACGCGTCGGTCGTATGTACAATTCGCAATACACAAAGTATTATTGTATATAGGACAGTTTGTATATACGTGTAGATAGTTCGTGGACAATAATGTAGAAGAAAGAGATTAACTATATGTATAAACATCGCGCGCGCGTGTGTGGGTGGAAGTGCGACTGTGTCGATGGTTGTATGGGAGGGAGCGCGTGTGAGAGAGACCAAAAGACAGAGATATTGATATTATTTATAAGCCAGAGATCTAATTTAATGTAAACAGATGGTATTATAGACGGGTGGAGCCAGCCGAATAAAATCGAAAACGTCGCGTAATTTAAAAATCACGATCTTCTTCTTCCAAACCCCCTCAACAAACTGTACGACGATGTTTCGATGTTTCAGCTTTGCCTAGGATAATTTTCGTTCTCAACCTTATCGTTTCTTTAGCCTAATTTTGCAGCATTTACTCTTAGTATTTTTTAAAAATAAATTTCTTTTTCTAGGGAATCAAAATTTAACTTGGAGCACGATTTTTCTCGTCGTTGAACTTTCTCCGTTCGAGTTGATCTTTCTCTATTCATCGGTAAGTTATTTATTTTGTAATTAGAATGTGGCATCTAACCGAGACAATTCAGTAAAATCTCGTCTGTTCGATCAACTTTGCAATCGTCTTCTCGAATATTCTTAAACACCGTGAACAATCGATTGAAAATCCTCTACATAACCTACAAAACTTTCCAAATTCGTCAGAACAAAATTACCATTCGCAGCAAGTAGCATTTAGGCGTACTGATTCTCAATTAGAAATCTTAGAAAAGACCTTTTGGGTTTTGTCTGTTTGTGAAAGTATTATATTTCGAGAATACTTTAAGACCGTTCTATTGTAATAATTGTCGGATGGTACTTTTAGGTGCTATAATCGCTTAATTACTTAATAGCTGGGATTCAAGAACTGAAGTTTATGGTACGGGCGTATGTAACGGTTATTTTAGAGGATTAGAAAATTTTCGGTTTGGCATGCAGTTTGGTTTAGACAAGACCAAGAAAGCGGAAACAAATTTTTAATCCCAAAAACCGTCAAGAGCGGTGGTGAGTGCTAGTGCATCAGTGAAAAAAGATTAAACTGCAGGAAGATATTACCGACGGAATACAGAATTATCTGTTTTCTTACAGGTTTTGCAACAATTTCAATACTTAAAGTGAAGTGTAAAGTGAAGTGTGACAGAAATATATTTCAAACCGACAATACACGTGGAGTGAGATTTAAAATTGTTGTGCTTCATGAAACATATGCCGACCGCCTTGAAACTGCATTTTCGATATCGACGGTACGGATATCTCGAAAAGTACTGTATCGATTTGGAAAAAAATTTTCTCAGGCTTCTTTGCATACAAAAAACTTGTCTTTGAACGAAGCATTTTGTTTCTGTCGAATATTTTGATTTGTATAGCCTCAAAACAAACTATTCTTCGTTCAAAATTAAAACATCCACTTCGAACGCCCGCCATCTTGTCGAAGATCAATATTTCGAAAAATCCTTCGTCCAAGGATAAATTTAGACTATCTACTGAAGAAATATTTTTTATACATGCTTTCAAATAACCGTGGATCGAGCGAAGCTGACCACCGCGAGGTATGTATTTTTGGAAAGCCCACAGGAGAACTGCCATAACAAAATAACCATGTCTGTATATTCTTAAATGAAAGAAATATACAATTAGTAATCAAAAGCATGATCTTTCAAATAAAGGAACGTCGACTGAGAAAGGTCTTATAATTTGTTAGAAAAAAATTCCCAAAAATCACCATTTTTTAAAAAAATCCTAACCGAGTTAAGTAAAGTAAAGTAAAGTTTTTCTGCAGCCAAACGGAACGCTTTACGTCGAAAATCTAGCATGTTCCCAAGGCACCGGTGATTATTAACGATTCCTCCGGCCGCAATCTCGGTCACGGGATTCACCTTGGCTCGAGCCGGGTGGGCATTTCAACGTGCCCGGTGAACGACGGCCCCGGATCCGCGTCTTGCACGCGTTAGCATCGGCCGTGAAAGAGATTGAAACGCTTCGTGCCGGTGCAAGGGGGATCCATATTTTGTTCTCCGGCCGTGTCCCGGTCTCTGTCTCTCCTCTAGCCGCGATTTAAATCTGAATGGTCGTTCCGCCGCGGTCGTTCGAGGTTGCCGCGTGTGCGTACGGGTTCCCATACGGCGAGCACAAGGGTGGAGAATGGTTTATATTGAGGGGAGTGCGTGAGATCTGTATTAGTACCGATAGGCCAGCGGAACAACAGTGTCTCTCATCCTCCGCGACCCTCGATCCCCTCGAACGATCGTTTTATCTCCCTCCGCGATCATTTTACGTCCTCGGTAAGGCCGGTCGTCGCAGCGCTCCAAGATCTCCTTTTTCCCTCCGTAATGGCTCGCCGTTGTTTCTCCTCTTTTTTTTCTCTCTCTCTTTCTCTCTACCGTTTCGACGGGTAATCATTCGCGACACGAAATTTCGACTACCGGTGATTTCCGGCAGGCGAACACGACGAGGAATGCCTCAAATTCGACGCTTCCAGCGGATATCGTGTTACGATAGTCGAAGCCTGCACACCGGCCCGCCACTATGTCACTGTGAAACATAACCTAGGACAAGGGATTCCATTCGCGTCGCTCTCGAGTCCTCTTCTATTTTTTTGCCATTTTGTTTTATTTGATTTTTGTTGCGCGCGTTTTTTCGTTTTTCTTTGTTTTTCGTGCTGCGTTTCGCTGGAGCCCGAGCCCCTCTCTCTCTCTCTCTCTCTCGCGTCTCTGTGCCGCTTCGCCTCGCCTTTCGGCTGCAATCGGCCCGGACGTGTTTGTCAAGCCGCGCGCGCTCGTCGAAGTCGAGGACAGTTAATCCCCGTGACGTCCTATAACTCAATTCTCACCGCCCTCGGAACCCCCCAGGTGCCCCCCTCGCCACCCCGCACCGACCAAATGCAATTCTTGACGCGTGGCCGTTGAAGAAAACCCGACATTCCGGGGGAGGGGGACGGGCTTATCGGGCCTGATAACGAATGCATCGGGAAAACGGGATGAATATTAAAAGGAACCGGGTTTCGGTGAATGCTGTGCTCGTCCTGTCTCTCTCTGTGTGTGTGTGTTTTTTTTCCACGAGGATCGCCGAACAGATCGGTGGAATCGATGGTTATTCGATTTTTTATTAAGTCCGATAGAGGAACTTTCGGTCGGCTGATCGACTATTGACCAGTCTTAAATTGTACAATGCCGGGGCACGATTGATCGCGTGAATTATGAAGCGAGCTTCCAGCTTGACGATTTCACCGTGATTTTGCAGTTAAGGAGTCTGAGAATTTTCCAACCCCACGTAAAGCCTGCAATTCAGATTCGGCATTGTTACTCTCTACATCGCCAATCGCGACGATAGAATTCGATATCGACTTCTTTTCAGAAACAATTGCGAAACAGCTGGTAGCATTAGACCAATCTTGCTTTACAATCTGACTCGATAGCACCCCTTGCGCAGTGTATAGTCTTCCTACGAAATGGATCGATCCGCAAAATGCAAGAAGATGATGAAAGTGCTCGCTACATCTTAACTTTCCACGGCTCGTTCCACGAGTCAAGTTGCACCGATTCCAGAGAATTTTTGAAGTTGTTGCAAAGCGTTAAACGAGTCCCGCACATCGAACTTCGTAAATGCTCGCTGCTCTATCAGCCGGCGACAAAACCCGGCACTTTATCACTGCCGCGACATCAAAAATCGCCGTCGAGGGAGGGGAGTCGAACGGTACAGCCGCTAAAAAAAAAAAAAGAAAATACGGGGAAGCAAATGGACAAGGGACAGGACGGTTTTTCCGTCGAACGGTGGACGAAAATGAGAACCGCGTTGACACCCCGGTCGCCGGTCGCGGCGGGGGCTGTTCGTTGACGAGTAGACAACGGAACCAAGCAACCATGAAGGGTCGCCGCACGAACCGAGAGCCAAACCGATCGGAGGCAATCCGTGCTTGCCTCGCCGGCGAGCCAGCCGGCGCTAACTAATGTTTGCCCAAAGAATCGCGACGAATAATTGAGTCAGCAGCGGAAGAGAGGAAAAAATCAGCGCCCCGAATCACCGGCGGAATAATCGACTTTCGTCGGACGGACTTCCTCGCCTCGCGATTTTTCAACCCCCGCGAGCGCGCGGGGGGTGCGCGATGCGCGCGATGCGAGAGACCCGATGTTTGACGAACCCCTCCGTGAGCCTCTCGCCTAATGGATCGGACGTATGAACGAATATTCCCGAGGAAATCCGGGATCGTCCGTGTACATATCGGCACTCCGAAATAGAAGACACCGAGTTGAATTGTTGGCCCGGAGCTTCGGACACGGAATATCCGACTTCCGTCGAACTCTCGTTAAGAATTCTTTGGATTTCCGCGCGGAGCTACTATTTTAACATCTTGCGATAACGTTCGCCGGTCTCTCGACCCGTCTGCAGTCGCTCGGTTATTTTCCGTCGACGCTCGACTGCGGCCCTTTTCGCGCGAAAAGTAACGTCGGGAGAATTGGGAACGCTTGAAACGAGACTTCGAATTTAACGCGTCGCCTCGCGATATTCCGTTGGATTCGCGACGATAAATCATCGTTTCGTGCATGATCTATTAGAGTCAGGATACGGTTATTAGTATCGCTATTGCTGCGATAGAAAATCGTAA